TATATTAAAACATATACGTTTATCTCAATCAACTTATCATCGTCTTCATCGTGTTTATTTTAATTGGATATGTAATACAATTTCTTGTTATGAATAGTTTACGTAAATGTTTGAAGAAATTGAAGGTGATTTTCGAGATCGAATTAATCTTTTAATTTATAATATTTATTTAAGAAAATGGTCAATGAGACAAGCTCGTGGAGTTATTCGAAATAATACTGATGAACGTAACATATGAACAGGTTTAGAAAGTAAAACACATTATGGACGAATAAATTTTAATGTTGATTTTCAAGATATACTTAATGAAGATTGGCAAATGATACAAAAACGTGATATTGATGTATTTGTTTGTAGTTCAAAAGTACTTGTTAAAGAACTGCAATGTTTATGTATTAAAATAAATGATTATCATTCATCAATAAATAGAGTTCATCTTTATTTAAATAAAGAAAATTTTCAAATTTAACCCTTTTTTTTGTACAGCATTAGTTTTTTTATTTTTAATAAAAAAAATAATAATAATAACATTATTATTATTATTGTCTAAATGATTAGTTTTATCGAGGTCAAGTTTTCGGGTTAAAATGTAAATGTCATATGTATTCTTGAGTCTAATTATATGGACAAAGTAGACATTACAGAAAAAAAAAACGAAAGTAAAAATTTCATCAATTGAATTCATAATAAATTTAATTAAAGACATTCTCCATTTGCTGACATAACAGATTTCTTTAAGATTAACAAAGTACAATGAGATATAAATCAATGAACAGACAACAAAACTATGTCAGAATATTTATCTATCTAACGTAAGTTCTATCAAGGTAGTACAAACATTCTTAGACTTAGATATGATTTTTCAAGACTCAATAGTCTTTTGGGCAGTTCCTATTTACTTAATAGAGTTTTTCAATGACATGTAGTCTTTTTTGAGCAAAAGAAAATCATTTCCATGAATGAAAACTATATACGTGGTCTTAGTATCGTCAATAGTCAAGTACTTTTCTTACGGTATGTGAATATATGATCACAGTAATAACTAAAAACTCGTCAAATGAACAATTGAAATTTTCAGATTTTTCTCTGTCGAACATAAAGAAATGAAATTTATATGAAAAGAATATTCTTCAGTATTTGATGGAATATTTCATTGTATGAACATCAGCTTTCATAAAACAAAAGTGCATCTAAACTGAATATTATATTAATGAAGATACCTATTTATTGATTATGACAAAGTTGATATTACTTTTAAATTTTTCTTAGCGCTTTACTGACTTCGTACAAAAAATATTCAATATAAATTCGACTGTAAATATCTTATTTATCAGTTACGTTCAGGAAAAAATCTAAAATCAATGGGAATACTATGTTTGGCCTATTCTAATAGAGGCATGTGCTGTGTTTGATCATTTGATATTGATACAATCGAGATTTGGCAATGCTCAGTATAATATTGTTGACTTTTTTCTTAGTTGACTATATTTTTTTTATCATATTGCGAGATAATCATTATAAATTGTTGAATTCTTCTTGAGTTGAGTACAAATTCTTATTTTTTGATGTCATCTGTAATTCACATAATTGTCAGCTATTAAGTAGAAGTTAGATTTTCATAAAATTCTGTGACAAAGTCAGTAATCAAGAAAAAAGTTTGTTTTATGTGAAGAATAATTAATGATAACACTGATAATACCGATAAATACTAAGTTAAAGCAAATTTTTGACAATATTCATCTGCATGTTAATTTCCATATGTCTATTTTAGGATACGAGCAAATCAAAGGATCTGACAAACTACTTTCTTCAAAGTTCCTCCCTCAGAGTCCTGATAGAATGTCTCGAATTTTTCAACACTGTATATCAAAAACGTATCGTAAAATATAATTTTTTTATTTCTACAAGATATCCTAAAATGTAAATTAATAGTGAAAAGAACAGATAAAGAACTAGACTCGGACTTAAGCGAAGCCCGAGTAGAAAAGACAACTGATGGTATGAGCCTTAAAACAAATATTAGAATGGAATTCTTTATAACATCTGTAATTTGAAAATCCTAGACTTCCTTTGCGGAAGTCATAGTAAATGTCATTCACGCTCAGCTGACAAGTTAAGAAATCATGGAATTGAAATAAAAATTACTATACAAGAAAACTAGTCGTGAAAATAGAATGTGTGAATATCTAAATAAATCTTTAATAATTGAATTCAAATTGCAAGATTTAACACCACAATGATTTTTTAAAAAGTATGCTCTACATTTTTATTAAATATATGATAGAGTACGCATATAAAAGCGAAAAACTGCTCTTATAGTTGAATCAGAAATTCAAAATACATTTGTCTTTTTGAGACTCTTCAGATGATAGAAACAAAAACAAATTTTTCTTAGGAACATGACACAAGTCTAAGCCTATTGCGTTTAGAGAGAAAATTTTTAGCGTCTACTCTTGCAAAAAATATCATCATACAAATGGTTCGTATGATTCAGAAATTCTTTAATTTTTTTTTCATCGGCTAGAAAGGTATTCGTTAATTAATTTTTAAGTATAATATACTGATGAATTTGAATTGAGTGTCTGTTACAGGAACAGATATTTTCATATACAGTTTCTTTGAAAGAATCTACTTTGAGAAATAGTGCTTGTCAAACATCAAGATCAAATAAGATATAAGTAATTGACATTTCTCTGAAGTTTCTATTATATCAAATCATCGTTTTTGTTGCCATATTATTAGACAACTTTAGTAAATGAAGTTCAATAGGCTACTAAGTTTTACTTTATTCATCGATTATGACTCTATATAAAGCACGACATTAATTTCAATTCATACCTGTTTTCAAAAATAACATCTACTTAAAACTTATCCGATGTGCATTCACAACTGGATACCTCAATTAAATTTTTATCTTTAATTGCAGTACGCCGATAGTAACTTAATCAGTCTTGATAATAAAAATCTTTCAATTTCCGATTTTCTTTGTTGATCATAATTAAAAGTTTGCAGACGATAGGTAATTCATTATTATACTGATATACATGCACTCGGATGAATGCTAACTGTTTTTTTTCTCAAAATTCCTATTTTCTTTTATCTTTCATGAAGAAAAAAAAACAAATTTCATTCTTACATGATTAGTAGTGT